AAGTAAAATGGAGTTATCAGCATTATGAAATAATTTTAAGAACATGTGCTCTTCATTACTTTGTGTTTGATTTGTTATCTACTCATACAGTGAGGTTTATAGACGATGTTAACAGGGACTAACAACTAAAATTAAATAGAAGTAATTTGTTTAGAGAGCACAACCAACTCACCCTCCTTCAATCAATCTCCCGACCTAAACTTACAACAAACTACACCACTAGAGGCTCTCTAGACCCACAATGCCTCCTCACTGCTTACAGATCAATCACCAAACTCAAGAGACATTTAAGACTATAAACACTTCATTCAACATTCAACATTTAACAGTTATACCCCTGAACACTGAAAATAAGTGTATTTATTCAATAAGATTATTGGCTTCTGTCATACTTATGTAAATATACAGTAGCCTACTGACACTGTGCATGTTTTCACACACACACACACACACACAAATATAAAGTTATTTCTGCACATATTCAAACAGTGTAGTTTTCTGAACATTCCTGCTGTCATTGTGTCTTTAATAGGCCTACACTGTCATGTTTTGCCTCTATCTTCACTTCTGGATCATGACAAAATGCAGATCTGAAAGAGTGAAACAAAAGGGTCAAACATACAGCCTCCTCATAAATTTGCCATTCAAATTTCATTCAGGTTGGTTTATAGTCATATCGGCATATAGCTGTGCTTTGTGTGTTTCCTTGGTTGAATCAAATCTTTTTGGTACACATTTGTTTTATATCTATTCCTTTTCATTGTTATCATGTTAATTTGTCTTTAGTTTGACATATTATTCATCCAACAAATACTTGGCATTCAAAGCAGAGCATTTGCATTGTATATATCATTGTATTGTGTTTCTGTATTATATGTACATAATGACACTGCAGTTTGTTCTGATAGTGATCAGACTGGTTCTCAATACATAGATACGTGTCATTTAGTTTGCGTGTCAGCTGATGTTTGATGTTTTACATTCACTAAGGTGTGGAATTACTGTGGTGACTCTTGGCTCCAGGATGCTGGAGATATAAACACTGCCACAAGTCAAAAGATCCCACAGCCATTGCCCTACTAAATTTTGCTGCTGAGATACAGATGGGAATCCAGGATCCATCAAGAAACTCCAGAGACTAACTCAAATCAAAAGAGCCTAGTGTATACTGACGTAATTGAATGATGTGTTATAGGAAATTAAAGAATCAGATTTGGTAAATGATAAGCAGTTTTAATATTAACAAATAGAAAATTATATATAAGTACAACTAAATAAATTTAACAATGGCAAACAACATGAAGAAACCAGCAGCATAAGGGCTGTCAACTAATCAGCCCCTAAAGTATTGGTGAATATACCGTAAGGTAAAACATGTAACTAAAAGATGTCACCATATACTTCCCCAACTGACTGATTCAATTAAGAATACAAACAACACAGCAAACATTGCATTACAAATTTTCTGAAATGTTATGTTTAAATTGCTTGCATCATATGTTTATTCGTCATCATATTCGTTATGTTTAAATTGATTGCATCATATAATAATTGCTGTTAATAGTGTTCATCGTCTGTTTGATTACGTCTTTAATTGATTTTTCCGTACATTTCTGCCATATGTACATTAACTGACAGTCACCACTGATAAGCTACCACTAAATATTGTAGAAACTTAATTTGCTGTAAAGTTGCTTTGCAATGATTTGTATCGTGAAAAGCGCTGTACAAATAAACTTGAATTGAATTAAATATTCTTTAATGAATTCGTCACATAATGGTCAGGGGATAGCGCTAAACGCATAGTCTTAAACAGCATTGATATTAAAAAATAAATACAATAGGCCTAAATACAAAAATACATACGAATGTAGGCCTACACTTACTGATTTGTTTATTCTTGTTTATTATGTGTCAGTTTTTAAGGATTTAAGCTTAGTTTAATGATTGAATAGCCTATGGAAAACCAACCAAAGCCTATAGGCTATTGACTGCATTAAACATAGGCTAACATTGCATAACAAAACATCAATTATACAAAGCTGTCACAGAAGCATGTATAATTACAAACTAAATGTACTATTCCACTGTTTCACACATACTCCGTTTGCAGTGCGTTTTTTTTTCCTTTCCCATGTTGAGCATTCAGTCGATGCGTTCCGAGAGGTACGTATATGCAGCATCGCAGTGATCGTTCCCGCACCGAGTCTATTTTATTTTTGCTGTGCTGCACACGCTGAATTAAAGTGACAGGGCATTGCTCACGTTAAAAATGTACATGGATTGATACGAAATTTATTAATTGCACCATGAATGCATATAGGCTAATTAAAGTAGTTTTAGCTATGGGTAAAGCAAGGAAAAGTACCCTAAACTTTTAGATAAACATGGTAACCGATGGCACTCGTTGAGTTAGAAAACGAAGTTCTGTTTATGACCAGCAGGGTTACTTGTAATGTAAATACAAAAAAAAAAGGCACGAGATGGCTGTTTCTGTCAATGGTAAGTTTTAATTTAAAATTGTGATAGCCTACTACCTTAGCGTAAGAAAAGTAGACTATAGGCTGTGTTTACATGTAGGGCTGGGCAAAAATATTTATTTTCCGATTAATCGTTTTTTTACATGACGTCGATTCGATATCGATTCTCAAAAGCCGCGAATCGATCTTTTCCAGTATTTATTTCAGCACACATTTAAAACAAGATCTGATTAACTTGAATCTTATCATTAGTCTTCTCCACTAGATGTCACCCTTATTTACCTTGCGCGGTTACAACAGAAATCCTGCCATTCATTCAGCACTTATCATGGCCATACGCGCAAT